GTCATTGGCATGAGTCATACATACTTTTAATACTAGTGTGGCATGTTAGAAAATGTTTAATCAAGTGATATTACTCAAAACATTAGTCAGCAACAATGGGTATGAGAACAACAGACCTATTTATTATTAACCAACAGATTACATAAACTTTAGACAGAAGCATTGTGTTTTTATTACCATGTCAGTATTTATTTTTATAAGGCCTTCCAAAACATTTAAGAACAGTACCTGATATTGAACCGATATTGGATTGGGAAATCAATAAAACTAGGAATAACAATTAGAAACTTGGGTCCATTCTAGTCATTGAGGGAGGAACATTCCTGATTCTTCAAAATATAAAAATTGATCCCCCCTGTGCATGCATGTATGTGTGTATGTGAACATGCGTATTGGCGTTTGCATTGTAAGGGCCCTGTTCCATAAATAATACCAAATTGTGGGGGCCGAATGCTCCTCTTAGGGACCAATGCCTGCACCCCATGGTTTCAAACACTGTTTTAGGGTTAGGTGTAAGGTTTAATACTAAGGTGTGAATTAAGTTTAGGTTGGGTTTACGGTTATGTCTGAACGCGTTATGGTTAGGTTAATGGTAATGGTCACGGCTGGGCCGTAAAAATAGATTAGAAATTAATAAAAGTCATTGGAAAGCCTCACAAAGTATAATAGTTTTTTGTGTAAATGTATCTGGAAGTAGATTCAGTGTTGTAGAAAAACATAATTTTCTTGTTTCACCTTTTAGGGGAAACATTCAACTTCAAGCACTTAGGATATATCAGCATTTAGCTGATTGGGGAATTTGGGGAATTTTGACCTACCTTTGTTTGTTGAACATGTTAACTAAGTCACATCTGAGAGTTTTGAAGCATGAACAGTCCAAGTTAATATCACAGAATCTCAAAACAGATCATAGTTTAGACTTAACCACTTACCAGCATTCATGTCCATTTAGAGAACCACACATTTTGGTGCCCGTTGAGGTTAAGGTGACGAATTGATGGGGGGGAGAATCTTTTCAGGATTTCCCGTTAAGGAACAGAAATCTTGGCTCTGTCCACTTCAGCAGCCTAAACATCCCCAGACCTTCATACTACCTCTCACATGTTTTTTTCTGGCAGACAATATACGATTGTTTATGACTACTACTTCAAATTTTCATCACCAATTCACAAAATGTTTCTTTCCTCAAGTTCTTCCAGTCGTCAGATATAAGTATATATATTTTTACTTTCAATAACTTCTTGTAACTGAGTATTTACATGTGTTAAAACATCTGAGAGGGATATCTGTGATAAGAAAAGTGTTTTTGGTGACAGACCTCAAACAAACCGTCACAGATTATGGAGGACATCTGATGCTGGTCCTACTGATTGTTTTATCTACTGTAGTATACCAAAGTATTGTCGGTCATTCCCCTGTTGCAGGGTAATTATGGAAAATAAAGGGATGATGGTTACTCTCCATTGTGTGGTTGGCAGCCTTGTTTAGTTCTGTTATTATTTCCTTCTCTGTATGTTTGTGTCGATGTGACAGGTGTAAACAGAACAATGCAAACATTAATCTAAAGAAAACTATTTTTTACAAAAGGGATACTGGATGCAAATTAATATAAATAACAAACAAAACTGTTAGATACTCTCTACTCTGCTGAAAACAATAATTTTCTCACTCACAGCCCCCCTCACCCAAAACGATACACATTCCTCCCATCCAAACACCACCTTTCGGCCTCCTTTGGAACCCCACAGAGCCGCTGGGACCTCATCGGTTGCCAAACTCTAAACATACCCTTTCTGGGAAGTTATTGTTAAGGTTATTTATAGGGCACAGTGCTGCTGGCAGAGTGAAGCAGGCAAAGAGGTGGGGGGGCGCGTATTTATATGCGACCTCTCTTTCTAAGACGGCTGAAGGGAGAAAGAGCTGCTGTGGTTGTAGAAGCACCACAGGGTTCTGCCTGTGGCTCCCACTGATATTTATGTCCTGTTTGGTACCAGAATATTTTGGGAACCTCCCCAGAGATCCTCCCCCTAGATTATACGTCTGACATGTTCCATGTTCTTTAGACCCCCCTTGCTGTTCTCACCAGTCTAAATGAAACATAAACAATACAATCAGCTTCATCACAGAAGAGGAAGGGATGCATTGCACTGTTAGTGATCAGTTGATTTTTAAAAAGTAGAAAAACTATGATACAGAGAATGCTACTTCTATTATATCAGTGAAGAATATTCTCACTTCTGGGATTTTTAAACAGTGCAATTTCCTTGGTTGGAAGTTTGTAGCATTTGAATAAAAACATCTTATCAAATTTTCTTCAATGGGTGTAACATTGATAGAAAAGTGTCAATTGGAGATGTTCAAATTCTGGGTAATGTACATTGTCATAGAAGACCCGGCAATTTTTTTTCTATTTTGTCAGGTTACAAAAATAAAAATCTGTTTATATTCCTTTGTGTTTTATTTCATAGACCAACACAAAGTAGTGGATTTTTTTTTTAAAGAAGGTAAAATAACATAGTTTGGTTTTTTGCTGTCTCGGTGAGGAAGAATTTTATATAATGGTATTTTTGCTTTGGTACTTTTGAGTTAAACTTTCAAGTCTTACAGGGGGTGAGTCTTTGCTTTACGAGCTTTGCACATTTAGAGACTAAAAGTTCTGATCAATTTTGGCATAATACCCCAAGGTCATTCAGTTTGGACTCAAAACAGGTTTCTGCTCAGTTTGCTGTGTATTTAATGGCCTCAATTTTGTAATCAACAATGGACATCTTCCTTCTCCCCCAAGCATGATGCTGACAACACTATGTTTTTAAATTCGGGGAAATGTCTAATCTGGATGATTTTTACTCTTATTTCTCTTTCACATGTAGGCCAGAAAGTTGCAATTATTTTATATATAAGACAAGGGCACCGTCTTCCACATATCTCTATTATTGGGACCCCTGACTAATTTCTGTCATTGGAGGTTTTCTTTATGTCCTGTCAACAGATTCTCCCTCCTGAACTGTGGCTCTCTGCATCTCCTCTAATTTTCAGGGGCATCTTTACTGCTTCTCCAGATTTTGTGCTCCATGTCAGGCTTGTCATATTAGGTCTGAGTAGACTTGCCATAACTTTAAAACTTTAAATAACTCTAGGGTATCCTTAACTTTTTAACAGGACTCTTCTACTCAGCACAATGTAAAGTTATCACTAAAAATAGAGAATTATTCCTGTAAATGTTGGAATTGGAATCAAATCTCACATTATGGTATATTTGCAAATAAAGTAAGAATAAAGTAAAAAAGTATTTTAAGTACAATATGAAAAATATAGAGATGATATGAGGCCAGCTTAATATTTATTGTTCTCTTGCTGAACATCCTGCGTTCCTTTATCTTGTCGCCTTCCTATTTTTCGTTCTTATTTCCTTCCTGCTGCCGGTATGTTGGAGCAGGTTTTTGCTTTCATCCACGTATCTTCTTGAGTCACACCGAGGATGTTTAGCTGAGTCAGGTTTTTCTGGTGAGGATTTCATGCCTTTCATCATCAGTAATTGGTGTTTTTTTGGTGTTAGCTGTGTTTCTGCTGCTGTCTCTTCCCCATGAAGCCGATAAAATAAAGCAATGCATTCATCCTGGATTGAGGGTGAATATTCTGCTGAAGGGAGATAAAATAATTTCCGTTATATTATAAACAAAGTAAAGCAAATGGAACTTGCATTGTCTTAAAGAACAACTTGGTTTTGTCTCTGTGGGGCAGAGCAGGAGTCAACCGCAGCATTGTTTTTATTCCTTTTGTTCGGAATTTTAAGAAGGGCCGTTTACAAGTACTGGTTAAAATAAACTGGAGAGGAATTACTCTGAAAAGAAACTTTGGTAATACTTGAGCAGTTTTATAGAGTGCAGACTTTACAGCTGCTTTTATAGATGCCAAAAACTGTAAGAGACTTTTCCGTCTCTTTCCAAACAGACACTTTGCAGTTTGTGATGTCTTGCTGTCTGTATCAAGCACCATTAAGATGTGTTTGGAGTCTTTTATTCTATTTCAAAATTCCTTCAAGTTTAACTATTTAAAACACGCACATTTGTTAGAAAGCTGCAGAAAACCAGATGCCATGCTGTTATAAACCTTGAATAGAAATACTACAGTTTTAAAACATTTCAACAACTTTTTCCAACAAACATGTAGAACTTGATCTCATTCGTTTTTATTTTAAACTGAATTGCTATATTAAATCTTTATGCTAATGTATTGATTTTGGATGCAAAAATTATTGATTATATCCCTTAGTTTTGTTGGTTGTTTTATTTGAAGGGTTATATTTTGATATTTAGTTTGTATTTCATAGAGTTAAAGGAATGACAAACTTGTTATTAGCTGATAAATAAGTATAGTTTAGGCTCAGGTAGCCTACTTAAAATTATCTGCCTTATTTAGTTTCCCAGACTGATAGGTGGATGTGCTTTACTTCTCGTATCGTGTCAGTCTGTGTTTACATTTACAGGGAAATTTGCACAAATATATGGCTTTTTGTTGTTAGTGAACAACAGTAGTAATAGCTTCTTTCAGTTCGCTGACCAGCAGGGCTTGACAACAGGTAGGGGAAGGGGCACAGTGCGCTACTCAATACTGCAGCCAGAGAGAAAAAAGCTCTTTAGCTGACCTATTCTGACCTTAGGAACAGTGAAAAAACAGCAAACATCTTTGATTTCTCAGAAAGATGGTTATGATTACATGTCACAGTATATTGATGGCAGTTATATAAACCTTTTTTTAAACCAAGTATTTATGAAAACCTGAAATTAGATTTTTTTTTTCCTCAAAGATTTGATATTATACATGTTTTATTTTTATATAATATTTTATTTTTATTTAGAGATTTTCTATATTTTTGGGGAACAACCTTGAAATGTGTTTTTTTTATCATTTCACAATCTTTAATTGTCTGCATGCCACAGTCTGAAATAAATTCAGTGATTAATCTTCATGTATCCCTCTTGTTTCCTTTGTCTTTGTAGGACATGAGGAGACATGTAATGATGACCCTCCTGGACACCGAGCAGTCATACGTGGAATCTCTACGCACTCTTATTCAGGTGACGCTCTCAAACACCCCCTCATCTGCAGGTTCTCCTTCCCTCATAAACCATCTTTCTTCACTCACAAACACATCACCATGTACACATAAAAGGCAGAAACTAACAAGCGGTTTGTAAACTCTGAGCACAGAGGCATTGAATAACATATGTAGGTAGCAAAGGTGTTATATAATCCACTTACTGTCATTCATCTGGGCAGGATTATCTGCTATGCTTATCACAACTCACTGTCATCAGCAGTATCTGCCCACGTACACACACACGTATAAGCATAACCACTCCTGTATATCCCACACCCGTCTGCGCTCTAATAACTGACTAACCTTTACCCCAAATCTTCCTTCCATCCCTCCAGAGCAGTCACACACTCACAGATTCCCATTTTTTAACGTTGATCACCCAGTTGTGCCGCCTGGCTGCAGTGTGCGTGTGAGCGTTGTTACATCACACATGCACGCTGACTGTGCTCTTCTTACTCATGTATTTCTCAGTTTGTGTGTGGCCACAAAGTGAATAATCCTCAGCTGTGTTCCCATGACGACACGGGGGGAAAAAAGAAGCGTTACCACGGAGACTGCAGAGACAGTGCAGATCCTTGAGGGGTGGGGGGCTCTGATGTGCTTCAGCGCAGACCACTCTGCAGCGGCGCTCAGCCAGGGTTGAAATATGACCCCGTGGATTTACTGTTTGAAAAACTTTTGAGTTGGAACACTGTAGTTGGCAGTGATTGGCTCAGATGTCTGTCTTCACCTGAGCTGAAACCAGCTTATCAAAGCTGCTGCTCTTTTTAAACTTTGATTCTAATTTCTTGCATATATTTTATTATATTTTTTCCCCCTTTAAATTAGGCTGAAACTTTGTACTTTAAAAATAATGCAGGAGGATCTAAACCAGGAGTCTGCAACCTTTCAAATCAGAGTCATTTTGCCCCTAGTCCTGCTAAAAAGAAGTCATAGCCATAAATTACATGGCCTTTTGATTATATACAAAATATTGTTAGGGATAAATATTTGCAATGTTTTTAGAAAAAAAAAATACATGCAAGACGAAGCATGTATTTTTTTTATGGGATGCTTGAAATTATGTATAAAAACTCTCACATAATTTCCCAGAAACAATAAGAACAATTGGTTTAGAAACATATAAATCGTTTCTTTAATGATACTCTGTCATAAAAATTAGCTGCTAAAGCTTCCAAGACTGGCTTTTGATGTTATGCTGTTTTTCATTTGTTGGTTCTTCATCATTTTGGCCAATAATAAAAGCCCTTGGCTCTGTGGATCCTCCTGCAGAGGCGCAGATTGCTGATCCCTGGGCTGGAATCTGGACCACTATAACTTTAAAAAATAGTAAAATATACTTAATTCTAAAGCCAGCCTATGTGGTTTTACTGAATTTAATTGCTGTGTTTAAAATGCAATTGATTTCAATTAGCAGATATTTGTCATGATTTTTCTCCAGACCCCAATAATACAAAACAAAATTCATGATTTTCTTGTTTTTGATTCAAAAGCTTTATAGGATTCAATGGAAATTTACATTGATGATCTCAAAACATTGAAAACGCTGCAAAAATCTTGTTTTTAAAAATACATCCATTATTTTTTGTTTACCTTGACGTTCTTTTCTGGTTTCTCAGATAAATGGTCAGTTTGCACATATGTCACTTGTTGCAGGTCTTTTACTGACAGACATATTAATAAAACAGTTATAATGGTTTGCCAATTCACAGTTTGCTAATGAACTTTAAAGCTAAAATTGTAAGGATTTTATCTTTGCCTTATTTAGCATCCACTTACATTTTCTTTAAGGTATACAAAGAGAACAGAAAGAAATAACAGTTTGAACCAGAGTGAACTGAGAGACAGGGTAGGGGGTTAAATGAAAGACAATCTATGTGGTGATGCGTAGTCACTAACAATTCCACTAACATTGCACCCCAAACACCATTTATTTCCAGATTTCTCATTAGATCACCAAATTCTTCCTCCTAACCAGTCACTGTGTCACCAATCTGCAATCTTTTTCAGCATTTAGACCTTTTTATGTTCCAACGTTGTGGCATTTTGATCGCTTCCTACGTTTTTTCCTGGCATTAATAATAATAAAAAAAAAAACAATTAAACACTGGAAGCTCCTGATTCTACTAAACCGAAAATGACAAATCCACAGCTTATAACCAGCCACCTCAGCACTTATAATTTGTACAGTTCCCTACTATAGTCTGCTAATATAATGTTCTCTTTTACCATTTTAATTAAAGTTTTATTCCAGGAGGATTACATTTATTTGATAGAAACTGAAAAAGAAACTTTCTACTGGAGCTAATACTTAATTAAATATATATTGAACTGCAGCTGTTATTGTAGCAGATTTTGCAGTTTAACGTATAAGTGAAGTAAAACAGGTAAACAGATCTGTGAGGAATAAAAGGTTAAGTCTGGGTAAAGGATACAGAGTTGAATTTCCCCACTGAGTCACAATATAGGATATTTCTATTCTATTAATAGTTAAAGATAGATGTGTTTATAGGAAGTTTAGCCTTAGTTCATATCTATCATTAAAAGTCAAAGAAGGTTTATTTTGAAAGTTGGATAAATCAGCACATGTTGTTGGTGAATTATAAAAACATTTAAAATTAGTTGGGTATTAGAATGAGCTTAAACCTAAATACTGAGCATGATTCTTTCCTAAGGCAATCAGATGGTCTCTTAAATAGTTACATGCTTAGTTTTTCAGCTCAGTTCTGAAAAAAAAAAAAAAAAAAAAAAAGTATTCTCCCTCGTTTTCATTGCACAAATAGAAATACAATGTGTCCCCTTCTTTTGAATAAACTGCATTGGAAGTGTATGTGTCTGCATGTATATAGTGCTATTTGCAACATAAATCTAGAAAGGAACAGCTAGCTTCTGCAAAACCTGGGTGAGAAGATGTAATGAATTTTGGTGCATTTACTGTAATTGCTGTCCAGAAGAAAAGTTACATGGATCAAATCATGTTAAAACACATTTCACAGTTTGTGTTTAATAAAGAGTTAAAGGAGGACTTAGTTTGCCGTTTCATAACATGACTCATGAAAACCTTGTTAAAAGCCACACAACTTTATCTTTTTTCTCATTATTGCATCTGGAAATTCCTGTAAAATACTGAGATCTTATGCGTACTAAAAAAGCCCAAGCTGAATCAGTGCCTCATTGAAGAGACCCTCAGACCCGTCTTTGTTTCACCTGTCTTCATATCAAATGGAGTAAACTGCAGATTGAATTAGTCATAAGCTATCATAAGGCCCAGGCAGTAAGCTTCTGTTTCTGAAGCCAGGAGATCATATCCTGCTGAGTCCACTTCTGCCTAAACTGAATTTCCTAAATTCTCTCATGTTTAATGGTTCGCAGCGTGGGTTTTAGTCTCTGACTCACTCTCATTAGACTGCAATCGCTAAAAAGCGGGAGACAAAAAAGGGCAACATTGTTTAACGAAATCTTGATCAAGTTGTGGAGGTGATCTGTCGCTACACAGCTCATACTCTGATTAAAAGTAATAGTGGACAAAAAAAATCTGAGTTGAGGATGATGATTTTAAAGTTTTCATTCCTGATCCTGACTAAATGAAACCCAGTTTGTACTAAAATCAACCTTAAAAGTGAAACAACTCTACCCCTGCTAGAACATATTGGTACTGAGATAGCCTTGTTTCTTACCATTTTCTAAAGATAGGGCCTAAGTAGGTTTTTTCCTGTATTTATATTAAATTGAGCTCCTTGGGGTATTATACATCCGCTGGCTGATATTAACCTGGTTCCCTGTATTGGCATGAGCAGATTGGAGTGTGTGTTTGCCGATTAATCAGTGCATTCAGCAGCTATCCATTGAGAGCAGGTGATGCCTTGCTGCTCCCTCTGTTTTCTATGCATTGTTATTGTTTTGTTTAAATTGTTAGTGTTTCTTTTTTTAAGTTGTGTAACGTAAACAGAGGAAGTAAAAAATTGCTTGAAAAATCAGCATTGGTCTGTCTCTACTCCTGAGTAGTCAAGGGAGTCCACATAATTTGTTCTCTGCATAAAAACAGCAGTTTTTCGATGTGTGTCTGGAAAGGCTGGAGGAAAAAAGTCATTAAATTTGGTAAAAAAATTAAAATGAATTATTAAAGCTACAGTGTGTAATAATTACAGGGATATACAGTCAGAAATG